GTATCCTTTGGCGATCGAGATAGACGTTTTCACCATGGAGAAACTTTAGTCCTGCCTTAGAAAGTGAATGATCTCAAGTCACCTGGTATAAAGAATCATATTCTGGCTTTAGTAATAGATCAGGCTTAAGACCAAATATGAACAAACAACATTATAAAAGAGAGCCTGATTTTTCAGTATATGAACTTAGATTAAATAATTAAAAAATAGCTCTTAGAGTTGAATCTTCATTTTGATTTTATCAAAACTTACCCTGCGAGCAGTGGTTTCTCCTACGCCCGGCCTGGAGAAACCACTGCTCGCAGGGTAACTGAAAACTATTATAGTACATCAAATTACTCAAACGGAATTAAAATTCTGTACTTTATTATTGCATTTTTGCTCATATCATTAATCTTGTGGTTCTCTGATTAACATCTCCACTTCTTTTATCTTTTGCGTAATCAGGACCTATTACTTATTAATCAAACACGTAATTTTTTAAGTACAGATCAGTTCTGAAGTAACGGATTTGGAAAACGGGGCATGCTATGTGATAGTAGCTTTTCCATCGAAGTGGAACGTTTGTTTAATAGCTACCTGTGATTTGACCATGGAGTTAAGACTTAAGACACCAGAAGCTATTATTCTGATGAAACCTGCTACCTGATGGTATTGGTTTGATTAAGTTTATTTCAAGAACTTCACAACAGAATTCGTCGAAGTCTTGTTTAACAGCAATAAGGACATGATAATGGTATATGCGTCTGATCTCCACACTGAAGTGGTTAACAGCTAAATATTATCAGAGAAATATTCCTCATCTAGCATATAATGGTCATGTTATGTCTAAAAACCTGGCAACCTGTCAATGGAACATATCTAATGGCAGGTTTTTAATTTTAAATACTCTTTAGCCAGTAAGTTGCAGCATATCTATGGAAATTTCCATGTATACCCCAGCTGCCTGAACGCACAGTTTGATTCAGAAATTCTCTGCCAAAAAATTAAAGTCTACAGTAATTTCCATGTAACGCTTTGGACAAAAGCTGCAGTTAATCTTGACCACCAGGTATCTATAGAAATTTCCATGTAATACTCATTTGCTCGAACAACGATATTACATTTTGTCTAGAAACTTTCTATACGAAGACAACATTTTTTTCGCATAAAGTTGCAAAATCTTTCTACGCGGTGTCTACAGAAATTTCCATGTAATTCTCATTAGCTAAAACACGGCGATGGTAACTTCATTAAATTTACTGTAAAAAAGGAGTCTTGACTATAGAAATTTCCATGCGTTGCTAACTTCTTAGGACAAAAGTTGCAGATATTCTTTATTACGCGGTGTCTATAGAAATTTCCATGTAATACTTTTCTAATTAGACAACGATTTAATATTCATTACATTTTCTGCCAAAAAGGGTCTACAGAAGTTTCCATACGTTGCTTAAACTTCTTTTGGACACAATAAAGTCGCTTTAAATTCTTTACCACCGAGGTGTCTATAGAATTTGCCATGTAATAATTATCCGCTTAGGCAACGATTAAATATTCATTACATTTTCTGCCAAAACAAGAGTCTATAGAAATTTCCATGTAACTTGTATTTCTTCTGGACAAAGTTTGTAGATCTTCTTAGCCATGTTTAGCCTGATTCTCAGTCGGCTGAGATCGTTCGCGATCCCTTTGCTTTTCTCGGACGGCTCCGAACCAGGCTAAGCCAATTGTCGTGTCTACATATCTAATAAACCGTTTACCTAAAGAGTCTCAAGGAAACTCCCGACGAATGTTATAATTTATAAGCAATCGAAATCAAAAAAGGAAAGATGATGCCTTCCGAAGACATCACTGCTGACGCTTGTTGAGTCAAATGCGCTAATAGAGGCATTGG